AACCATTCAGACTTTGGAGGACATGTTGAGAGCATGCGTAATTGATATGAAAAATTCTTGGGATCATCATTTACCTCTCTTAGAATTTGCTTATAATAATAGCTACTATGCAAGTATTAAGATCGCTCCATATGAGGCTTTGTATGGGAGGAGGTGCAGGTCTCCAATATATTGGATATATGTTGGGGAAAGGAGTTTGTTGGGCCTAGAGTTGATCCAGCAAGCTACAGAGAAAGTTCATCTTATACAAGAGCATCTTCGTGTTGCACAAAGTAAGCAAAAGAGTTATGCAGATAATCAGAGATGTGATTTAGAATTTGATGTGGGAAAGAAGGTATTTTTGAAGGTGTCACCTACCAAAGGTGTTGTGAAGTTCGATATTCGAGGGAAGCTTAGCCCTCGCTTTATTGGTCCCTTTGAGATTTTAGAAAGGGTTGGAGAAGTGGCTTATAGGTTGGCATTGCCGCCAAATTTATCAGAGGTGCATAATGTTTTTCATGTATCCTTGCTAAGGAAGTATGTTCCAAATCCTAGTCATGTGATTGAGCATGTTCCAATCCAGTTGAGAGAGGATCTCTCCTATGAAGAACAACCGGTTCGTATTGTTGGTTGAAAGGAGCAAGTGTTGAGAAGACGTGTTATACCCTATGTTAAGATTCAATGGAGTAATCATACAAAGCGGGAGGCAACATGGGAGTTGGAGGAAGATGCTAGGAAAAAATACCTGCAACTTTTTGATGAACAAGGTATGAATTTAGGGACTAAACTCTTTTAAGAGAAGAAGAATGTAATACCTAGAACTTTTATTATTATTAATATTATAATTATTATTTAATCCCTTAAGGATGTGTATGCAATAAGGTGGAAATATGAGGACTTATGTGTATAATGGTGGTAAGGATGAAGGAGTGGCTTGTAAAATGCGTAAAACTTAACCTAGAAATTTAAGAATAACGTGCTATTTTGCAAAACCTCTTGGGGCGTCAGTTTCCTCACTCAAAAAGCAGTAAGGTGACTGCACAAATTTGGGGAAAATAGTTGCCTAGTCCATTCAATGAAAAAGGGTCTAAATAATTCTTCGCTTTGCATTCACTGGTGCCAGGTCAATAACTGAGGTAAGTGGCATTGCCCTTTCTAGAAATGCTAGAAAAATAAATTATTCTTTCACTTGTTATTGTAAAATTAATTTATTTGAAATCTAAGTGTGTTTTTTTAACTATTTCCTCGTGGTATTTCTTTTGGAATGCATCTACTTATTTATGTGTATATTTATTTATCATTTTTTTAAATAAATGTGGATTAAGCATGTTGGTTGTCAACTATTTGAGATGAGGGGATTTGATAGTTTTGTGATATAGAGACTTTGGAATTGAAAATTTATTTGAAATTAAGGTAACTTGTTTTGCATGGAGTAGTTGGACAATCCTACCT